GTGAGAGAGGTACCAAAAAGTACTATTTGCATTAGAAGTGAGTGATGTTTCCACAGCTTGAGCAGAAATCTTCATTAGGGTAGAGGCGACTTGAAGTCAACACTTGCCTCTACTGTCAAATTTTGCCCAAGTTGTTAGAACATTGTTTTTACCGTTGACAACACTCCTTTTGACAATGCTCCCAAATTACTGATCAGAGTTTATAAGATCAGTTTTAGTTATCTCACCCAAACATTTCCCAAGTACCCTTTAATTTAATCCACTGACCACTATGAGAGACTAGCATCTAATTTCACCTTAGAATATCACCCCTGATTCAAACATTAATGTCACGAGAATACAAGAAATCATCATCAACTTGAGACGCTTTTGATTGTGAAACATATTCTCCTTGTTAGCAGCTTGAGAAATGTATAATAACAGTGTGGAGAATATACATACTGATGTTAAGGTGTAAAGGGTTATTGACTGTAATGGCATATGAAAGAGCCTTATGAGAGCTGAAATCACCCAAATACTCCAAAGCTCAAGAACATGCCAAGTTAACATTGTCAGGAGCTATCAAAACTAAAAATGTTTAGGATTAAATGCTTTAACAATAAACTGCAGGCAATCTGCAATCCCATGCATCGCGTTTTAGTTACAATTTACTATAGTTTTCATACAGTTAGTTTAAGTTTGGTTTACCAGCGGTTCTCCCTTCGTGATTAAAGCGGCATTCGGTTATTGGTGAGGTCTGCTGTTTGCAAACTTCTCACCCCGAAATAGAGAACTTCGCTGCCAATACCGTGATCGCGATTTCTATGTAGAAATTACCTCGTTTCGTTCCTAGTAAATTCACGTACCACGCCAACAATATTTACTAAATCACATTTTGTATTCTTTGTAACACTACAACTGAGAGCGTAAAGAACAGTGTAATTCACGTTATGAAATTAGGATACCAAAACTAGAGGGGATGCTCTAAAACACTGGCATCCGTAAAAGGTCTATACATCGTAAAATGACCAATGCTAAACCTGCGAAGAGCCATGAGACCACGGTAAACATTGCAAATCTTGTGTGGTTAAAAATCTTTTGACCGTATCTAATCGTAATCAATTAAACTAAATATTCTCCAATGGGTGAGTCAAAATAATTTTTCACAGTCGCGTTCAAATTAAAATAATGTAGGTCGTAAATTTTGCGTACTACTCGACGATTTTAAAGGCAGCATATTCATAGAGAGAATTTCCACGAGTAGTTTTTTAAATATGGGTGAGGCTGGAAGTTAAACCTTTCAGTAAGAAAACTAAGAGAAAATTTCACTCTAGCTCAAGAGATTGTACTTGTCTTGTTAAGCAGATAAAATAAACTCACCTCTCCAGCACGTTGGATCTTTCATTCAACGGCCGCCATGTTGGATTTTATCTTTTCACTGTTCGACCAATGCGCATCAAGAACCAAAAATAGTAACAATCCGACACAACAGTAACACACGAGTCAAAACAAAAACTTGTTACCGAATTTATCTATAAATCCTTGTGTGAATCGCCTGCTTTTGTCGTTTTTTCTTCCTCTTATCTCCTTAAATCAATTTTGCCGAGAAAGTGAATATCGAATGAAAGTATATGGAAGTAATCTCTTTGTTGTAACGGTTCCAATAAACGAAAACTTTTCTCCTAACAAAAGGTGACAGTCGTTGTTGTTACTCGCTGGCCAGCCTGCAAAGATACCCTTTAATTCCAAGGATAGGTGTTGTTATAAAAGTAATGGTTTTTGCATCACACTCTTTCGGATATGTCATGTAATTTGTTGATCAGTTTTTCACTTTTCATTCGCATCTTCCTAGGAAAAATTGAACCTACGAATTAAAACATGGAATCGCAAAAATATAGCAGAAATAATTTGGAAAGAAGGGTGTCTGGTTCTGTTTGTCAAAAAATCAAGGGACTGAATTTCCTGATATAAAGATAAGGAGTGAAAGTTTTAATGAAAACAAGATAATTTTAACTTCTTATCTTACATTGGTATTCAGAAATATTTTGCCTCTTTTCATTGTGCTCAAGAGGTACAAATCTTTTAGTTCTTACGTTATCCACGACAGTTACCGTTAACAGAATATTCCCGTAAGATTTACTCATTTTCTGAGTTTAAATTCCCACCAAATAAAGACATAATCTTCAAACTTGTTGTCCAAACTAAGGCTTTATTGTTTGCACACAAGTAACTTGTGAAATCGCCGGATAATGTTTCATGAAGTTAACGATATCATCTTCAAGGACTATCATTCTGAGACTGGATAGCGCTGAAAATAAATTACACCCTTTAGTTTCATAAGAAAGTCTAAGTTTGAGGCTGAGACTGAACGTTCATTCATTCATTTTTTTTTCGAACGTTCTTAACATGTTCTGAAAGTTGTGTGGTATAGTATATCAATAAATCAGTTCGGACGCGAGTTAATTGTCCTGTTAGACCACAGTTTTATACTCAAACAAAAAAAATGAGCAAAATAAAGACGTTCTTAAGTGACTCTCAGTCTGGGTATGTTCTTGAAATTTTGATTAATCTCAATCTGAACGTTCTCTAAAAAAAAAAAGAATCTCATGAAAAAAAAAAGGGTGTAAGTCGTTTGTCAGCAAAACAAACTTAACTCCAGTTCTTCAGTGGTTAGTTACGTTTATCTGGTGTGTGTATCTTTGCCTCGAGCACCCTGAGCCTGCAGTTCATTTATATGTATTTGGCAATATCGCTTAAATTCAAATCCAAAATTTCTGAGTAAATGTACTCCCTTATGAGCTTTCTGTAGTTATCACTCATTCCAGCCGCTTCCAGCCAAGGAGCTCACTTTATGCCGCTTCGGTAAACTTTTTGTAGATGACAGGCTCGTTGATTCTATTTGTTTTATAGGGCTATCAAGAAGGTACATTCTTTACTTCATTTTCATCTGGAACACCCACATGTATATGGGATAGGAAAATGTACCACACTAAGGGTACAATTATCCACAAATCCGACTGTTTTTCAAATTTTGGTTGGTCAGAGTAAAACCCAGCACACAAATGGCTCTTGCACCTAATGGGGACCCTCGGCAGTCAGTACGGCAACACTAAGGCAAAAGTCGACTAAAACTATAATTTATTGTTTTCTTAATAATTTCGCGAATGGTTGGACTTTTTTACCGTCTTCATCAGCACCAGACTCAAACTTAGGTGCAGCATATTTAAGCAGCTTTCGGTTCCAAGTAAAACACGCGAATAACGCACTGACGGGTTCCCATCTCTCTTGTCAAGCTGAGTCTTGTCAAGCTGAGTGCCGTCCGTTTTCATGAGAAGGAGTGGATAATACATTTGACTTTTCAAAAGGGGGCTCACATTCATAGAGAGGAATTCTTCTTTAAAAAAAGAGGGCGCTGATGGAACTTATGGTAACATCAACTCAATAACAACTAGTTTTCCCTCTGGTATTTAATTATAAATTAAAATCTTCAGATTTATTGGCTAACTAAGTAATTACCTGATACTTGTTAAATATTAAAATAAATTAGAAGTGATTCACAACTGTGCATTACTACCAAATTTTCTACAACCTTGCACTTAACGGTACTCGTATTTTAGAAACAAAACCGCATGGAAGCCTACAATAGTTATAATTATACCTGTATTAACAAAAACAGGTATAAGAAATTAGATGGAGAAAATACATTTTTTAAAGTGGCTATGTCAGCATATGAGCTGGCTGTTAAAGGACAATAGAATTTGTTGAGATGAACATTATAACTGACATTCTCTTTGCCTCATAGCCCACAGCCCATAATTAAAAAGGTTTCTTTTGCCAGAAATCTCTACATTTTTCTGTTACAATATTTAAAGTTCTCACATCACTACATGGGTGAGCTTGGAAACCTTTATGTAGCATAATTTAGATCCTAATAAAACTTTAACTCCCATGAGTGACCAAGAAAGAATTTCTCCTTACAATTTCAATACAAAATCAAGCAGACAAGTGATAAGAATATAGGAAAATCTTAATTAGGGGATTATAAGTTGATCCAAACCAAACTCTCCAAACCAACATCACAAGAACTATATGGCAGACAGTAAGGAGAATTACTAATGAGATCTTGGGAGTTAAAGGTGGTTAAAAAGATATTCATTGTTAGTACCAGAGTACTTGGAGAATATGGATACTTGGATACTGATGTAAGTAATGCTGATGGAAAATCATCAACAGTCATGGCCTTATGATTGCCAAAGAACCAGAAGATACTATGATCACTGCAAAACTGCATTATGTACTTAACACCTTTTTTTTTAAACAACCCTTTACTACACTCTCTAACCCCCAGAGGTGATTGAAAAGTAACTTCTCTCTATAACACACATACAATATCCAGCAAACAGGTTGTAAGAATATTCAAATTTATCAGGTTGAAGTTGTCGTCTTGATTTAACTGCAAATTCATGTAACCAAGTTACAGGAAAATGAGTAGAAGCTAGAGAGAAAAATTAACAATCAGATCTCAGGAGTTTGGGTGTAAAGACTTTCAGTTGTTATGTATAGGAAATCGTCGGAACGTGAGTGCATTTTGTGATTTATGGGCACGAGTGATGTTTTGAAAGTTCTCAAAATTGCACGAGCTGTAGGCGAGTGCAATTTGAGAACTTTCAAAACATCACAAGTGACCATAAATCACGAAATGCACGAGCAGGTTCATATGACTTTTTATTTATTATATTCTCGACAAAAGCAAACCGGCTGTCAGCCATTTTTTTATAATTTGGTGTGCTTCCCCGGTGTTTCAATGGCAACTTCTCCGTATTGCACTCTATAACCTCTGTTGCACTCTATAACCTATTTATGCATTCATCATTGACCAATCAGAAACGCGATATTTTGTTGAGTATATAATAAATAGGCATATAGCATAACTGTTTAAACTGTTGAAAACTGTACAATAGTTAATTATTCTTAATTTGAGTGACATTTATAAGTGATTTTGTTTATCTATACATAACCAAACAGGCATGTATGCAGCATGTATTTTATTGCCCCCATGCAAGCTGTACTGGACTTCCTCAAACAAGAAACAGCTTGGAAAACTTGATGTGCTCATTGCTATGGAGAGGACCAAGATTCTTCGAAAATATGGACTAAGTATATAGCTGTACACAGTGAATGATTGCTGACTCAATGTGAAAGCAATGTTGGGTAATAAGAAGAGGAACAATTTTAAGTATAAAATTCTTGAGCTATTGTGCATATTAATGAGGTGCCAAAAAGCTTGTACTGTTGATTTAGCCACACCCCTAAATTTGGCCCCATTTTTCCGAAAATACTGCAGCCTATCTGCCGGTAAACACAGTACATAATAATATAATTTGTAGCCAAAAGATTACATCAGGAGTTAAATGTAAACTAAACAAATAACAAACTATTTATTCATTGTCTCTGTTGCTCCACAAAGGTCATGGCTGATATCATAGGCTGGGTAAGACCTGGGGGCAAGGACTGCACATCATCCAGAATATTGGCTGTGACATTGTTAATCCTACAAAGGAATAAAATCAATGAAAACATTTGATGAAGTTCTGGAGTCTTACTGTTACCAGCATGCCTAGCTGAGTCTTTTTTTTTTCTTCAACCCTTTGACTGCTTAGAGTGATTAGTATCTAATATCTCCTTACAATATCACCCCTGAATCACACATTAAGGTCAGGAGAATTAAGGAAATGATCACCAACTAAAGAAGATAAATTCTTCTTGCCAGCATCTTAGGAATTGTTTAAAGAACCGTATGGAGAAAATGCATAATGATGTTAGGGTGTCAACAGGTAATGCCTTGTGCACCAAGCTTGTAAGAACATTGATTTGTTCTGCCATTGCACATTCAGGAATGCTCAGATGTTGATATTTGAGTATGGCAACACTTGAAAAATACCATGTGCAAAAATTTAATCCTATAAAATTAGTTACGAGAATTTGGTGTAACGTAGATCAAGAAAAAAACTTTAACCTGATAAGTTTGAATGTTCTCATTTCCTCTCTGTTGCATAATGTATGGATATAACTGGGAGAAGTTACATGTTAATCAGTTCTGTGAATTCATGGTTAAAGGTATTCATGGAGAGTTTCCTTGACCTGGATGGACTAATCGGAGATTTTGGAATATGTTCTTTCTTACCATTCTTTTTGTTCATGGGGTAACCTTGGAACAGAATCTTTGTCTTTTGGTACCAGACCAGCTTTCAAACTTTTGAAATTTGACTCAATATTCTTTTTGTAGTCCATCATCAGAGTGCCGGCCTGATTTACAGATTGCTATTCACAGACAAGAGAGAAAACATAATCAGGAGCATTTAGAATGAACATACGCTTGGTACAGTGCTGTAGTTAAACTATTGACACCAGTCTATCAACATAATTGGTCAAGAGGAACAGTGCAAAAACAAATTCTTAAAGCATGGACACTTATGTTCAGTGTGGGGAACAACCCTGCAAAACAGCAAACTTCTCAACAAGCCTAATGAAGCTGACAAATTTCAACCAGCCTATCACTAAGCTACTGAGCAACAAAGACGCTCTATGGTGAGCTGAGCCACTGCAATGTTGTATGCAGGACAAGTGGCATGAGCACACCTGGGAATTGCCTTCAGCTCACTGTAAAGAGTCTCTGAGACTGAGTGGTGAAGCACTGATTAGGTTCACTTCCTCGTGGGACTCAGAATTTTTCCTAAAACCGATGCTTCTGAGTTTGAGGAAAAAATCATTACCAAGCTCAAAATGAACCATCTTTCTCACTCAACAAGAATTTGTTATCACTGAACTTTGCCACAATCAAAAACCAAACCTTTCTCATGATTAAGAAAGATGTTTTTTGTCTTGTCACAAGTACGGGACAAAGAAAAAATTCTGAGTCCCCATGAGGAATTGAACCTCTGACCTTCAAATTCTATGCATCAATGCTCTACTACTGAGCTACAGAGACTCTACAGAGAGCAAGGTCTATTACGAAGTTCATATGACATGCGTCCTGCATTTTGCTAGGATCAGCAATGATTGTAAACATAGAAAGTATACAAGAAGGCAAAAAATGGTCTCGATAGCAAAACAATAACAAAAATCACTTCCTAAAATTCTGTGAATGGAATCTTCCTTACAAGAAAATATGAAAAACAAACAAAGATAATTTGGGTAATGTTTTAATTAAACAGTATCTTACATAAAGCAGCGCAGTCTGATGAGCCATGTATTTATGATTGGTGAGGTTGAAGGCATCACTGTTCAGCTGATGACTCAGTGTTATCAGCTGGTTCAACATTCCAAGGTGTGGAAAATATCCTGAAACAATAACCACAATCAACTGTGACGCGAGTCACACTCAAACATATTTTTTATGTTAATGTTTGATAATTATAATTCACATAACTAATTTTGGAATATAATTGTACACTTAGAAGAGCACATGGAGGC